TATCACTGGCCCAGCAGGTGGTCAACTAGCTCATATACCGAGGATACCGATGATCCCAACTGATCTGCCAATCTCATTTAAACGGCTTCAATTTCCGGTAAAAACATCTTTCGCATTAACAATTAACAAGTCCCAAGGCCAAACCTTCGAATTAGTAGGGATCGATCTGCGAAAGAAATGTTTTACTGTATGTTGGTCTATCGCGAGTCGGAGCCCCTGAAAATTAATTTATTTTGCTGCCATAAAATAAAACAACATCAAATATTGTTTACAGAGAAGCTCTAACAAAATAAATGTATTTTCTTTTAGGGTTATGACCTCAATAATTGAAAAAAAGAACAAAAAATTAAAAAAATATATCAAAAAAAAGAAAAAAAACCCCAAAAATATACAAAAAAACACATGAATACAAAAAATTCATCAAATAATATCTGAATTTACCTAATTATTCTTATTTTTTTTATTTACTCTTCTTTAGGAGCTCGACGCAAAGAGGGATGAATATGTGTCATATTATTATGAATGTGTTAAAATTAACAAATCTAAATGTAATGTTTAATGCCCGTGCGAAGCCGGGACGGGCCGCTAGTCTTTTATAAAGTGTATTAAATAATGTGTCAGTTAGCTGAAAAGTTATTAGGTATACACTATATAAGAAAGAAATAAATATTATGTTTTAAGAAATAAATGTCTGAAATTATAATGTCACTAAAATAGTTTTATTTTTTATCCTTTATGAGAATTAAACTTAGTATTAGTCTTAATCTGTAAGAAAAATATGTTACTTTTACATTAATAGTTAGCACATATTATAAAAGTTATTTATATATATTTATTAATATATTTTTATTCTAAAATAATATATACTTAGTCGGGTCATAAGTTCTGTCACAAACTTTTGATGTAATAACTTATACGCCTTTTGACAATTATTTAAAAATTATATATGAAATGAAAGGTCATTAAATGTACAATATAATTTTATTTACATTATTCGAAATGCCCTCCCCCATTTTGAACACATGCCCTTAATCTACGCGGCCAGTCATCGATCGCTGCACGCACCACATTCATATCTATGTCTGCCGCTGCTTTAACCAGAGATGCTCGGAGAGACTCCAAATTCGGGTGAGGTTTAGCACAGACTTTTTCCTCCAAATATTGCCATATCTTGTAGTCCAGTGGGTTTAAATCTGGACTAGAAGAGGGCCAGTCTTCATGCCGGATGAAGTCAATTCCACGAGCGATCAACCAGTCTTGCGTACTTCGTGCCTTATGAGCCGGTGCAGAGTCCTGTTGGAATATCCAATGCCTGTTCCTGAACATTGTCTGAGAAAGAGGTTCCACTATGTTTGTTAGGACAGTATTTTGATAAACTTCGGCACTAGTTCTCACACCTTTTTCACAGAAAAACACCTCAGTTACGCCTGAATATGAGACTCCAAGCCAAACCATGAATGAGGAAGGGTAATGCCCACGCTGGACCCTCGCAATACGCGCGCTTGCTTCTTCACTGCTGTGGGCATACACCTTATCATTTTGTTTGTTAAAACTTTCTTCAATAGTAAAAATTTTTTCATCCGAAAAAAGAATTTCGCGGTATTTTTTTCCCGCGTACCGTCGTAGCAAAGCGCGGGATCTGTCTAGCCTAATTTTTTTTAAACGCTCGTTCAAAAAATGTCCTGTCTTTTTACGATAAGCTCGTAGTCCCAGGTCTTCATTTAGTACTCTTTTAACAGTGGTTCTGCTTAGCCCCATCTGCAGAGCTAGGATTTTTTGTTTACGTACGGGATTTCGTTCGATTCGCGCCTTCACTGCTTTGATGACCTTATGTGTCCGAACTGTGCGAGGTCGGCCGCTTCTCTTACGATCTTCGAAGCTTGACTCTTCGGTGTATCGTTTGATAGTACGATAAACAAACCGTAACGTTATTTTCAAATTTTGAAGAATATTGAAAATGTCTTTTGGCGCGTAACCACAGCGGTGCAACGCGATAACCGCGATTCTGTCTTCTTTATTCGACCACTCCATATTTAAAAATGAATAAAAAATAATTTCTTTTTTATTTTCTACAAGCGCGAAAGTTCTATTTTTAAAATAAGTCGAAGAATTTCTGGCCAGTAATCGAAAATTAAAAATATAAGGTTTTGACAGAACTTATGACCCGACTAAGTATATATATATTTGTTATCTTTTATAAATATTAAACGTCATACATTTTATTTATATATTATTATTATTCATTTTATATAAAAAAATATAAAAAACCCATAGTTAAAAAACCAGAATTTAAAAATGATAACACGGAATTGAACCGGTACCCTTCGACGTCATTATTCTATCATTCATATTCATCCGAGCTACCGATCGCATTTTTTAGAAGGTCGAAAATGCGGGTTAGTTTATAACTTTTATTATTGTCTATTATTAATTATTGACGCCATCTTTTAATTGGTTTGCTTGACTTGACTTAGATGGCGCTATATTAAGTCCTCGGAAATGAGAAAATTAACATAATTTATGTGTATTTGAATATAAATATATTATTGTTTCTTAATTATTATTTTAACCATTAAAAACCTTATTGTGTGCCTCTGCATTGTAAAGTATTCAAGCTTTGCAGGGTTATTTTCATTTAAAAGCAGCGCCATCTAGTTATCAATGGTAGCGTTATGCAAAACCTGTCAGTCAATAGTCGACCTTAAGCTCTCCATGCATTTTTGTCACCCTTAGTACATAAGGATTGAGGCGCCACATCAGCTTTTTCAAAACCGATCTTACCATTATTAAGCAGCAATGTAGCCTATTTTGCAGCAAAAACTCTGGATTTATCAGCAAAATATATGTCTAGTTGTTTTAATGAAAACTTGTACTGGGTCCTCTAGAGTTAGATAAACTTATCTACAAATAAAAAGGTTTTATAGCTACTGTTATTCTTGGTATCCGATCTCAACCCAAAATATTTGGAAATGTCTTTGGGTTTTTGTGTTCAATTGATCTCAATCCAAACGTTTCACCTTGACCGTAAAATTTATCTGACTGTCACTTCAAAAATCTAGGTTTATGTAAAGTAAGCGTATAAAAACATCCCATTTAATGCATTCGTATCGTGATAAGGTTCGAAACCTTTCAAGTACCAATGTGACCTTTTCAGAGTTATATGTACTGTCTAGGATTATTTAGACACTACTGACATACGGTGAAGTAAAACATTGTGAGAAGATCTGGACTTATAATTTCTAATTATAAGTTTTAAATCGCTAATCCGCCTTGAGCAAACGTGTTGATTAGTACTCTAACTTTCTCCGTGTGAGAAGAGGCCTTTGCTCAGCAGTGGGCACTTATAGGCTGATTATGTGTGATGTGTGAATGCATGGTACTAGATATCTATCACAGCTTCCATTGCGCAGGCGCAGTGCATCAATTTGCAGTGATTCAATCTTCCCAGGCCAGTTAGAGAGGCCGGCAATTGTATTATTGTAATAGGAAGTTGCAGCTATCATCCTGACAGAAGATTCGCAACTGTGCACCGTATAGTTTTCGCATTCATTGTTTATTTTGGTAATTTGTGGACATGTTATATATACTTAACTAAATGTTCAAAACCTAGTGTTCATTGCAGGGAAAAAACACTGTTATAGCCAGGTGTAACTTTAGTACAATTACATGTTCGTAACTCATTTGACTTTATTAAGTCGAAAAGTCACTAGGGACGCAAAATAGAGGTGATTTCAATTCTACCCTGTACCTTAACCCCAAAATTAGTACGTTCAACCAACCAAATAAAAACATTTCAGATTTTTTACGCACCACTTATTATTGTAGTTGGTTACACATTAATGTATAAGTAGTAGAAACGTTTATACCTGACTTATAAAACTAACAATTTATATCTATTACAAATATAGGTATACAAATATTATAAATTTGAAGAGATTTTTGTTTATTTGACCACGCTAATCTCCTTAACTACTATTTCGAATTGGACAATTTTTTGGAATCCGATAGTCCATTTACACAGAAAGGCTTTAAGCTATAAATATTACAATATGACCACTAAGAGCCGAACAGCTGGTGAAACCGCATGAGAGTAGTTAGTAAGATATAAATAAATCACTAAGCCATCTGTGAATTTTCAATTTATACACAAAGTCTTAAAACAAAATTGACCCAACACATTCTTTATCCCAAGAAATAAGTTGTACTTACTGATTGGGTTTTAAATTAATTAAATAGTAAAAACGTAGTGATTAATACTATAATTAAATGATCATCTTTTCGATATAAAACTTGATGGATGTGACTATGTGCTAATTATTTGTTTAAAATATCCAGTTCTTTATTTATGGAAATAATTCGTACCAACGGAGATAAAAGAACATACCTACAGAAATATTTTAATTTCCGCACTATTAAGTCACGAAGCACGTGAATCAGTAAAATCGATTAAGGCTTTTAATCGATTTTAGTAAATGATTCTTCTTTAATCGTTTTCATTGATTATATATTTATTTATTAAAATTTCTTTAATTTATAATTTACTCAGGACTTCCTCACTCATTATTTTTATTGATGTGTCTTTCCGTGAATACTAAAAGGGTGTTTGTCCTGTGTGTCGTTATCTGGGAGTCCCGGTGTATGGGAGTGCCCCTGCCATGACGCTCAACGATAACAGTACCTAAGTATGTGTAGGTAGTAAAAATTTATTTGATTTCATAAAATAACTGGATTGAAGACTTAAAAACTTGGCACTGCTCTATATAAAATACCAGACAACTTTTGTTAGTGTAATCCACTTTATCTCGTCCTGGTAACATTTTACAGATAATAAATACCTTGATAATTTTTAGGAAACGTACCTAATGATGCATTTCATAATATCCACCTTTCATTTTCCATTGTTTGTTATCGACTGCATTGCTACGGTTCGTTGCGAAGGTAGGTAATTACATACAGTACGTAGCTGAGTCTTAAAATAACAATTAATAAGTAATACTCACATTTCAATTCATTGTCCTTAAATTCGAAGGGCCCTATTTCGTCAAAGAGTCCAGCTAAACTCGAAGCGCCAGGACCTCCTTGCAACCACAATATCCATGGAGAATCCGGTCTATAATTTTCCGCGGGAAAGTACCAAAAGAATAGATTCGAATTATACTTTTCGTCGACAGTGAAGAATCCGGAATAACTTGTCCTATTATAAAATAACTTTGGATCCACTAAAGAAAGATTTCTTGCTTGTTCAGGTAGATTCTTTTTCACTAACGGTGTAAGAATCAGGGCTGGAGATCTTGCTAAACATGGTGATAAGCTGAAAAAAAAACAATATCAAACCAGGGTTGCCAGTTTTATTAAAATTATGAATACCTAAATTAAATAATAAAGCAATCGAATATTTATAAACACGATTTAATGTACAATTAATATTTATTATGGTGTGGTTGAATAATTAATTTTTAAAGTCGTGATATTAAACCTGTTTTTGTCGGCCGTGGACAGGGGTCAGCGCCATTGTTTGCGGTTGGATAACAATTATAAAGGTAACCTACCTACTTAGGTAGTTAAAGGTTGATCTCTAATTCCCTGCATGTAGGAGCCAACTTCCTTGGTTGAAAGGTGTGATGAAAAAGAAAACTCGCTAACCAGTAGCTACTTCTTGGTATGATAAACTTAAAAAAATAAACTGAGTTACAGTCTAAGTATGTGTAGGTATACCTACTAACTTAGCTAAGTGCCTAACGACTAAGAAAAAGGTAAACGTCATATTATGCATATTACGGTCGTCTTAAAGAAACGTTAACACAATGAGAACAAACAACTATTGAGAAAAAACGTTGAATTAACATTGAAACAGTTCAACAATTACTCAAGCACATCACCTTTTCCACGAAATAACTGAATACGATACTAACCGTACTACTTATAACATGCCCAGACTTTAAATAACTTAAAGAAGTATACGTACCTATCTATATAATTTTATTCAATTAAATTTACTTACTTACGCTTATTACCTACCTACATTAATTCTAATAGATATATCTCGAAAAACAAAAGATTTAAAATACGAATACTTACCTACAAAGAACTCCTACATCGTAAAAATTCAATTGACAATATCATTTCGCTTCTAATTATTACCTATTCATCGTGAACAAAAGTTAGCTAATAGCTCTGTAGCTGCGGGTTGGCAGAAAATAAATACCTATCTAAATACCGTCAACCTATAACTAATAGGTACCTACCCAATAGCAATTACTGATAAGGATACCGTATATAAACAAACATTTGTATATCCAGATCGATACATAAGTACCTATTTATCATGACAACATACCGTAAAGCGGGAAACTAAATTTAGTTGCTTACCTACTAAAATTACCTAATCGATCTATATCTTGCCACTTCCTTGTGAGAACAACACTATTTGTATGTTAGGTACATACAAATAGTGTTGTTCTCTGATTGATACGACAATGAATCAATCAATTTAACTAGGTATTTGCAAGTGCAACGACACTATGGCCAGTGTACTGAATCTTACAAGCATAAGTAATTTAAACTGCATATATACTTGCAAATATATTTTACAAACTATATATTTTAAGACAATACCTGAACGTTATAGTATCGCTTACTACTATTTACTTTTTTGAACTTTGTAAGTAAAATAATAATAAACCACAGATTATAAGTATAGCAACAGGAAATATTATTAATAAGTATTCTTAAATCAAAAATAACTTTACCTTGCCAATAAAAACAATCCAACGAACACTCTCATTTTGCCACTACGAATAACTTTGATTTTATGTCAGAAAATTTTAATTAAATATCAATGGTCGTATTTTTTCCGCTTCGAATTTTAAATTGAACTGCGAACGCGCGCGTGCTTTGGGTTCGCGTACCGGACTGAATCACTGGACTGATTCGAACGCGTGACAATCGACGATCAGAGAAATTGCACAACAGTGTTAAATGACGTCATTTCGTAATCTACATATTATTATGTGCGTTCGTATAATTAGTTTAATAAAAACTTTTCTAGTGCAAGTGCAATGACGTTTAATCACGTTTAAGAAAAAAATCTGACAGGCCGTAACGGCCGAGTTAGATTAATTTATGTGTAATTACCTAGTTTCTTGTTTATTTTAGCTTTTCCAAGTGTTTAAGTACAGCAAATCAAATATGTCTTGTTAAATATAGAAATGTATGTGATTAGGTACTTATACCTACTTTATTTTTCAGAATCCAAACATTCGACGACTTGTAAGTACTTACTATAGATACGCATTTTACGCCTAGTTAGGCTTAGCTATCACGCAATTTTATTTATCACTTGATAAAAAAAATGTTACTTGTTCAACAACATTATGTATGTGTAAAGATGTTGTCCCGTGGTGTAATATTTTAAACAAACCTTTTAAAAAAAAAAATTGTCACAAGGTTAAATAAAGACCAAAATTATCAAACTAGACATAGAGATGGATTATGTCAGCCATTATTTAGATTGGCAAAGGTACACAAGTCGTTCATGGGATTCTGTGTTAAATGTTATAACAAAATTCCAGGCGAAATACAACAATTAAATGAAAGAAATTTTAAATTATGTGTAAAGAAAACTTTATGTAGACAAGCATACTTTAGGTTTAGCGAGGTTTTTTTTTGTCAGGGGAAAATCATCAAATGTCTTCTCCCGCCCAGGGTTAGGCGAGAGAGTGTCAGACTCTTACTGACTAAAAACCCCCCCGTTCCTTCTCCTGCATTAGGCCGAGGCCGCGGTGACTCATTGCGCTTAACCCGCAACCCCGGCTATGTTTGGCGATGCTGGTGTACGCGTCATGTTCGTGAACGGGCGCCGCCCGTCAGTTGGGACTGGTCAGCTCCGGACTGCTATTGTCCTTAAGGTTATGTCCTTTTATATTTATCTGAATAAATATTAGTGTTACACTGTTCTCACATAATTGAACCAACTGTTTGTAAAACGAATCTGTATGTGAAACTGATTTAAAAAGAGTAACCATGGAGGTTCTTATTCTTTCTTCTGCATCGAAATCTACACTTTGGAACGAGCAAATAACTTCACTAAGAGGACTGACCGACAGACTGACACTATATCTTCAAATTTTTGTTTGACGTTCAAAAGTGCCTGTAAGGATATAATTGGAATAAATGATGTTTGACTTTTTTGACTTTTGACCAACTTTACTCATCTGAAACGGCTTTACTATTTTTTATCTAATGTTATATCCATGTATTAAGTCTGAGAATCGCCTACAGGCTATTTTTCTAAATGATATGCGTAATACTTAATTTTTTTTTTTGAAATAATTTAAATTGCAAAACAACGTTTGCCGGGTCAGCTAGTAATTTTTACCTTTACTTGTAATTAATAAATTGCAAAAAAAAGATAACACCACTAGCCACGGCGTGTGAAAGGTAAAATGTCAACGCCACTTTTATTCTTGACAAAATTATAATATTATATCTGTTTAAGTATGCCAAGTAAACTAAAACAATTATCTAATTTGATATTCAGAAAAACACAATGTAACTATTTCCCACGGTCACCGGAGACTGTGTTAGACACATGAGATTCTAAGAAAGTTAAATTTAAAACTATACAACGATAAAGAGAACAATATAATTATAAATTACTAGCTACTCTCGCGCGGTTTCACCCGCTGCTCAGCTCCATTTGATCGTAGCGTGTTGTTTTATAGCCTTTAGCACTCAGGAACATTGTAGCTATCTATCAGTGAAAGAATTTTGGCAATCCGACCAGCGGTTCCAAAGATTACCCCCCTACATACCAACTTACAAATTTTATCGCTTTATAATATTAGTTTTTTTTTATTCAGCATATAAACATATAAATTGCATTTTTAAATATTTCTTAAAAATAATTAATAAAAAACATTTAAAAATATAAAGAATAGTGTCCCACCGGTATCGGGAACTGGGTCCAAGCTACCGGCGGTCAGGGCTCCAGAGAAAGGAACCTCCTGACAATACGAGCCGTGTCCAGGAGTACCACTTTTTGAATCAAGCCCTTGATCCAGCCACCTAACGAGAGCCTCCTAAGATGTTGGTCGAGGCTCTTGGCTATTAAGCCATTGGCTGACACGACTATCGGTACAATGATAGCTGAATCCACTTCCCACATGTCGACAACCTCGCGAGCCAAGTCGATATACTTGATCAGTTTATCTTTCTCGGCTTTCACAAGGTTCTCGTCATGTGGGACGGCTATGTCAACAATCATTGCACGCCTCTCCTTCCGGTCCACCACCACAATATCAGGCTTATTGGCCACAATAGTCCTGTCAGTGATGATAGACCGGTCCCAGTACAAGGTGATATGACCATTATCAAGGACTGGGTCGGGCTCATACCTGTAGTACGGCACTTCCGATTCCACAAGAGAGTATTTCAGAGCAAGCTGCTGATGTATGATCCTGGCTACAAGGTTGTGCCTATGCAAGTACTCGCCGTTAGCTAGACGAGAACAACCAGAGATTATGTGACGAATTGATTCTCCCGGACGGTGACATGCCCGACAGATGTCAACCGTGCCGTCCTTCACAATAAATCTCCGGTAGTTATTCGTCATGATAACTTCGTCCATAATTGCACAGACAAACCCTTCGGTTTCCCCAAAGAGGTCACCAAAACGCAGCCAGGCTACGGACGCCTCCTGGTCTACATCCGGCCCGTGTAGGGCTCGGAAAAAGCGTCCGTGAAGCTCCTTGCTCTGCCATACTTCCCTGCGAGCGTTAGTGTCAAGTAAGACGGGTTTGCGCCAGTTCTCGATAGCCAGGGAGAGCGGGGTGAGACCTTTGTCCACTGCCACTACATCTCGATGCATATCCACGTCGGCAGCTAGGAAATATTCCCTGAGACTACATACCTCGCGGTTGTGTAGGGTCTTGGCATTTAAAAAGCCTCGACCGCCACACTTCCGCGGGATATACAGTCTCATCACCGACGACCGCGGATGATGCATTCGGTATGCAGTCAGCATTGTTCGGACTTGCCTATCCAGGGCGTCCAGTTCAGTTTGAGACCATTTGAGTACCTACGCCGAAAGAGTTTTTTTATTATTATTTTTTTATAACACCGTAGGTTATCTAATAACAGATGCACTGATGTCAATCAATTAGGTACAGATTTAACTACAAAATACAAAAAAAAGTTGCCTATATTTTGAATGTATGAAATGAAACAATTGAAGTGTGGAAGATCCACGCTTCGGAACAAATGGGCCGGCTCGACAAGGGTGATACCACGGCCTCACAAAAAACCGGCGTAAAGCAATACTTCGTTGTTTCGCCGTGTCAGTAAGGTTAACGGGGGTCCAATTCCCAAATTCGCTATACTTCAAAGGGGCTTGGCTTGGTACTACGAGTGTCTGTCGATGGCTTACCATCAGGTAATCCGGCTACTCGTTTGCCTACTAATGACATTAAAAAAAAAAGTAGGTATGTAGTAAATACTAAAATGTTAATAACCAAATATTTTAATTTTGCAATGATTAAAAAACATACCGCACGCTTGCCTGTATACAGCTTCACAATACTTTACAATTTTTCTATGTCGTCCTCTTTAAACCTTATAGTTTTAGGTACAGTAAAGTGAAAAATCTACTTATTTAATAATAACGTTGGCAATTTTCAAATAATTTGATACTATGCTGCGAAACAGGTGTAAAATTCAATGAAAAATAATGTAAAACACACACACACACAATATCTAGATAGGTACATTAAATAAAACCACACACACATAAAACGAATTATTTATTAAATATAAACATAAATAATATGATCAGAGGTAGTGTAATATACTATTGTTCCTGATGTATTCTTGAATGTATGATCCTTCGAGCAATCCGTATCGACGGCTGAGAGGTTTACTGTGTGTCCAACGAGCTACCAAGTTCTCGGCGGGAGCTGGCTTGTCTAGAGGCACCATGTGACCGGCTCCTCGAAACACCACCTCCGTAAAACGACCACCAGTCTTGTGATATCTAGAAGGACATTCATAGATTTTAGTCGCAGGATCGTGCCCCAAAGAGCCAATAGATCACCACAGTGGGAGCCCAACAGGGCCGATGATCAGCCGAGGTGGTGGGACAAGAGCAGTAAGGAAAGCGTGTGGTTTTTAGTCAATAAGAGTCTGACACTTCCTCTATCCTCCCCCTAGACGAGAGAAGGCATTTGATAGTTTCCACCCATTAGAAAACATCACAGACGGGGCCCTAAAGGGCTGATGTTCAGCCGAGGTTGCGGGGTAAGCGCAATGAGGCACCTCGACCTCGGCCCAGAGCAAGAGAAGGAACAGGGTTTTTAGTCAGTAAGAGTCTGACACTCCCACTCGCCCGGCCCTGGGCGGGAGAAGTCATTTGATGATTTTCCCCTCACAAAAAAAAAACATTAGAAAACATACAACAAAATCTTATTTAATTTTGTGCAACAACAAACAACCTCTTTAGAAGTTGTGGTATCTGAACCAAGAAGTTATACTCAGATTAGACTAGCGCAACGATTCAAAAGGGATTATTGAGGACTTAACGAAGCAACATTAGGAGTTCCTATCCTAGCCGTTAAGTCCAAACTCATATTATAAATGCGAAAGTAACTCTGTCTGTCTTTTCTTCACGCCTAAACCACTGAACCGATTTCTGTGATATTTTGTACAGACATAGTTTGGAACTCCAGAAAGTATATAGGATAGTTTTTATACTAAAAATCTGCAGGAAGTCACTATTCCACGCGAACGATCAATAAATACTAATAAGCGTCAGAGAACTCTAGAAAATGTATACACGATTTGATTAATATTTTAAAGGTCATGAAGTGACACTTACCCAGCTAGTTTATTGTTGAAAATGTAGGGGAACCTGGTGGCGTTCAGGAACTCTTCGGAGCCGCTCCATTTCCAGGTCCGATAGTTCTCTGATGTAAACACGCAGGGCAGCATCTGGTCCAACTGACCGCTAGAATAAAAGTACTGGTAAGTTGTTTGAAGTTCATTTGGAAAATGTTATGTAATAGTCTCATTACTGTTAATTAGTTGTGTAAATAATATTAAAAAGACAAGCAGAAATGAAAATCATAAATGTAGTAAGTATCCATTTCAGGGCTAGCTCCATAGGGGGTTCTTCCCTAATTTTATTCGCTTTAACTGCCATTACGGAGATGTTTTGTTGATGTTTTCATTACGAAAAGTTAAATAATTATATTTTTGCCGACCCTAACCCAAAATTATTTACCTACTTGACAGTCATAACCGCCACAACTAGTACGAACAAAACAAAAGTAATAACAAAATAAAACTTAAGTAAATTAAATAGGAGCTTCCTCGAGTGTTTTCAAGCCAGGACCGGGGCCCATAACCATAATCAACAAATGTAAGGTAAGTTAAGTGAGTAAGTAAGTGGAAGTGAGTAACAAGAAAAAATATAACTTACCAATAAGCAAGCACTCGATAATGTTCCAAAAGTCTTTCGAACATAGGTTTAGTGGAGCTCAAGAAGTCTGGCGCCAATTTAACGTTCACAGTCATGTTGACCCATTCGAAGTTGATATCACCAACGTGAATGGCCCTCTTGACAGGTGTGGTCTTCAGAAATTTGACATACCTCCCGACTAAGAGGTCATCGCTAAGGAAGTTGTAACCGTGCTTCTGGCTGGATATGAACAGAAGCACCGACACTAAACTGTTCCATTTCTGCAAAGAAGTACGGGGTGATAGTTGTTATTTTCTTTCAGAATTACTGAATGACTAAAGACGCCCATTTCTGTATGTAGCATGTCCCCAAGGATCGGACCCGATCTGCCAGATCGGTCGGAAACAAATAGCGGATACCCGACACTTCATTGTATGGACTGCTACATTGTAGGTAGATGATCCGTTGCGGGTCTGCGGACGGCGAGCAATGGCAGCCCACATGACCAGAACCAGATATGAGCGTACGGCGCGTAGCGTTCCGCACGCGAACAACATAACAACATAGCCAATGCTTAGCCGGGGCCGCGGGTCAACCGCATTATGGCCTCGGTTTGGAGCAGGAGAAGGAGCGGAGGGGGAAGGGGTTTAGTCAGTAAGAGTCTAACACCCCTCTCCATACCCTAAGCTAGAGAAGTCATTTTATGATATTCCCTCCTAAAAAGACTTGATTAAAAGACCCTTAAAGGTAAGTAAATTGGTTTGGTTGTTAGTAAAACATAAGAAATAATAACTTACATTTTTAGCCTGAATACTATTATTCTTTCTAATTGCGTCCTGGAACGCGTCGATCAGAGGCTTCACCATTTCAAGCTGCTCTTTCTCCAGGAGACCGAAGTAGTGGAAGGGCAAAGCTATGTGTGAGATCACCTCAGGGTCCACGTATGCGTTTCCAATTATAAGACCCTAAAAAAACATACAGTATAGGAACTAGGTGCTCAAATCGTAAAGATGGCTATAAAAGGCACATTTTTCTTCTCTTAATTTTTGCAATACTCAGAAGTGATAATTTATAGACAAAATACTTGAATAAGTAAGCTCTCCAGTTGAGTAAAAGATTTTGTACCTACACTTCTGGTATTAAATTGCTACTGCTTCGCTTAGAAAAAATAAGAAAGAAAGAAAGGCTGATAAAACGATGTATATAGTAATCATCGCTAGGAGAATGACGAACATAAATAAACATAACACGAAAATAATAAATAAATATAATAAATATTAATTTTCGTGTTATAACTTTAGTGACACATTTTAAATGAATTAATCGTTACATACTAAGTAGTGTATAATCATAATTAATTTAATATTTTCTTGAAAGGTCATAAAGTTATACCGGTCGTCCTAGAAAATAGACACATAGATACAAAGCACAACTTGAAGTTACCTGTAGATTAATTTCTGAACCCAGTTTGTCCTTTCGTTTGTGTATCTCCATGGCCATTGCAGGAACGTACTTCCCAGCATAAGACTCACCAGCTAAGTACAACGGCACCGACTTCAGTTCAGGGAATATTTGCAGAAATTGCTTCAGAGCAATGAAGAGGTGGCTTGAATACTGTCAAATAAAATGTTACTGTTGAAAATTACAAAATGATACGTCAGACCTCTTTTACTCAGCCGGGGTTGCAGGGTAAGCGCAATGCGCGACCTCGGCTCAGAACAGGAGAAGGAACGGGTGGTTTGTAGTTAGTAAGAGTCTGACAAATGTAGGAAGAAAAGTGCTCAATAAGTTACCACAAACTTTTCGCCAGATATAATAAGTGACAAATAATAATTGGTTTATATGAAATAAATATTCTGCACATACATATAATATTGTGACATATTTAGTAGTAACTAAAAGTTATACCTACATTTGAAAAACCCATATAAAATCGGGAGTCGAATATAATAGCCTATAATATCTATTGCTCATCAAGTCACGCGATTACGATCATTCGTCTCATACGAGTAAAGCAGATGCATCAGATTAATTTTTTCATTGTTTTTCCCCCCTCACTACACGTGATCGTTCATGAGACCGTTGCCCCAGCACATACCAATCAGCTGTTATTAAAAGCTAGTCTCAAGTCCTAGATATTGAAAAACATTACCTAGAAAACAAACCAAGGTCCCTTCATTTTGCAGAGGGGAAGCGGTTATTTTAAATTAAGTTTGTACCTATACTTATTTCACATAAGTACTTAAATGTAGTAGTGAGTAAATACTTTGACTTTAATGAATGTGAATACTTTGACTGCACGGTTGGTGCGGTGGCTGGGCACTGGCTGCACACTGGCTGCCGTGCAACGTGTCGCGGGTTCGATTCCTGCACGGAACAACACTTTGTGTGATCCACAAATTGTTGTTTCGGGTCTGGGTGTCATGTGTATGTGACAATGTATGTTTGTAACCGCACCCACAACACAGGAGAAAATCCTAAAGTGGGGTAACGTTTTTTTATTTAAAGAAAAAAAAGAAAGAGAGAAATACATCCTCAATTAAATTTGGAAAAGTCTAAATAATGAGGGTATTAGAAAATGTTTACTGTGAATATCATATATATACTCACAGTAAACATTTGTTGTTGACTGTTAGACAAAAGGAGCTACCTACATCTCCCAAAAAACTGCTTTGCTGTTTGGCAGGGGTAATATCTATTTATAGTATTGAATATGTATTTTTCTAAATAAACCATCTTTCATTCATTCATTCTTACCGTAGCCATATCAGTAGTGAATCCGTCGACATGTTCAGTGAAGCTGTATCCAGTACCGACGGGATTATCGATGAAAAGCAAGGAGTGGTTATGCAGCCATGTGTGAGGGTTCCCTGGAATTTACAATAGCATTATACCTCACGTATTCTGATCTTAAGTATTTACTGGTGTATACCAGTAAATACTTAAGATCAGAATACGTACGTGTGATTGGACTAGTACCTACTAGCCCACCTTTTAACACCACAAAAACATTTTAGCTAAGTATCATGATGTGTCTCTAAGGACTTCTTTCTCTTTGCAGTTTGAAAAATCTGTCTCGTCCGGAGAATTTGCTCAAAGATTACCAAACTAATGTAGAAGGTGATTTGACGTCGATAGGTACGTACTTACGCATCTTTTGGTGAGTTCCGCTTGCTAACCTATCTAATGACTGTTACTTTTGGGGATCCCTACCCCATCCCTGCTACTATACTATTTAAAGTAGGTTCACAAAACACTATTTAAGCCTCAGTTGTTTTATGTGTGTGATACCCGGGGGCCGTGTTTCGATTACCTACTACTAACATTAATATACATAGGTAAGTACGTATAAACTGTCACAATCAACGACTAAGGAATAAAAAATGAGCGTTCTAGGTATTTACCAATGCAGAATACAAATCATGTAGTATTGCAGATAAATGCAGGCGTCTAACTTATAAATGAAGATAATAGCAATAAATTGCATTGTTTTGCTGTTTTATAATCTACGTAGTTGAATAATAAATTCATTCATGATTTTTAAAAACGGTTTTTTTGGAGTTGAAACGGTGGTTTTTTATAAACATACATATAAACCTTTCTCCGTAAGATTAATTATGAGAAAAACAAAAATAGCTATTTATGGTACATACAAATATTTAGGTTATTGCTTTTGTCGCCGTGGGGACCAGCTCAAGTCAAGGGCACACCGCCACCGTCTGTTCTGTTTCATGGTTGACGCGTATAGCTATGTTTCTCTGGGGTGGACTTTGATTGGCTATAACCATCCCCTCTTTATCTGTTTCTGGGACCCGAGTCGCTCTTACGGAAGACCCACTGATATATTTGCGGCACGCCCTACCAGCCTGGAGGCTTCCTTCCTTCCCTAATTAATTGGCGTGCGGAGAATACTTCGCCTACTCCCACTAAAATTGGTGCAGGGCATTTGACCTTGATCTCCAAGCAAATGGCACCATTCGTGTAAATTATTTGTGCGCTTTTAATTCTAAGAACTCAAAGTAAACCTTACCGTGGCCATTATAAATTCTAAATCAACTTGAAACCTACTACGAATCTACAATCCGCCACTCTTGACCTTTTCGAACTATGTTTGATAACTACTTTGAAGAAATTTATTAATAGGCCGCAAATAGCCACACATTATCAATATGTTGTAACAGGAAGTCTGCACATAATGGTTGTTATTACGAAATAAATATCTACTTATTTCGCGTTATCAAGTGTAAGGAAAGTATGTCACGATGCGGTCACCACATTTCTTTCCTCAATCGCAATTGATAACAATTGATGTGACTATGGGACTGCCTTGGCAGGAAAAGAAGTCGCAGGTACAATATCTCCGATAATATGAAAGCACCTTTTTCTAACTATATCTGCATCTAGATATCATATGAAAAATTCAAAGAATTCAAAGATCGATGATGACAAAATGAAACACTATAGCCTAGTTGCCAATATGGTGTTACTTACGTTTTAAAGTTGAGTTAACGACGGTAAAAGGTCCAATTTCGTCGAAAAGTCCTGTCAAGCTGGAGGCTCCCGGCCCTCCTTGCAGCCAGATGATCCATGGGCTCTCGTTCACCGGCTTGTTCAGCACCGGGAAGTACCAGAAGAAAATGTTCGAGTTGTACGTTTCGTTCACAGTCAGAAAACCAGAATAACTCTTGAATCCCAAGAAAAGTTTCGAATCCACCCTTGCAGCTCTTTTCGCTTCCCTTGCCTTACCTTCCTTGAGGTAAGGAGTCAATATCAACGCCGTTCCATTATCGACTTTAGCTGGTGGTTCACACGGTTGATTACTACTTGTATTATTAGTATTAGTATGATTAGCGTCTAGTAGGTTATCTTCGACTCGTGTGTCGCACGTTTTCTCCGTAACGGTCGTGTTTTCATGAATCGGACTCTCGTGAACCGCGTTATCGGTATTATTTACAATACTTTCTTGGGTTTTTACTGGATTCACATCTAGTATCAAATTAGTTATTTCATCTTTTTTAATTTCAAATTCAGCCACTCTACCAAATACACTGGAAAATAAGGGAAATTCTGCGTTATCGGTCTAGCAGGTAGGTATAACAACAGAAGGAATGTTGTATATTGCTAATTTAAGTATTTTTAGTACGAGAACTGATGTCACATAGTGAAACAATTGAACGTCTGAGACGTTTCATAAATATCAAAAGGTCGAGGTCAACATGAATGTGAAGTACAACATAATTATTTGCTTTCATCATAAACATAACATAACACGCTAACTAAAACGTTGGAACATATAATAGGGACCACCCACTTCTTGACAGAGTGATACCGATAAGAATTTTTGAAAAATCAAAGTCTTAGCAAATCTTTGCCAGCCATAAGAGACTTGCAGGGTAATCGAAAGTTGCCACCAGTTATGGGTCTAAGATAGTTTATACATAAGGAATCCAAACAAAATAAGAAATATTTAAATTAATTAATTTAATGTCATTCAATATTGCAAATGATCGGTAAATATTTCATAAGTACCTAGGTACTTATGACCCGCGTAGCAGGGTTGCGTGTTGCGTGTTTGTAAGTTCAAAAACAAAGCTAGACATGATCTATTCATCTATTTAGCTTTGGTTTGCATAAGGTACCTACACGTATTAGGTGCCAATTATAGGTAGATTAAACACTACTTAGTTCACTTACCTACCTGCTAAGTGAGGAGTGAGTGAGGCAGCAGGAAAGGCTTTCGAAGCTTAAAAATTAAACTTCCTTTTCTAAAATCCACCCAATAGACCAATTAACAATTTAGAAAAATTTACTACAAAATACTAGTCTTATATTGCACTAGGTATCTATTTCAACACGTGCAAACACAAGAATTTGCATGTTATCGCGGAAAATCCTGTCAAAGCACTTCCGACCCGAAAAGATAGTAAACAAAAACTTACCTTATTACGCACAAAACTAGAATGAAAGTCACATACTTCATTATAAATAATTTGTTTAACCCTAATTAATTAAAACGTGCGTCGTTTTGATGCATGGCTCGTGAACTGAGTCCGTAAGCACTGCCAGGGTAAGGCATACATTATCACTTGAACTATATGATCCCATTTTGTTGATACCGATACTAAAGTAATTCGCCTTTATGTGTACGCTGATATTTTTAGCTGGGCACTCAATGAATTACGTTTCGTCCATATCGCAGGGGTCCAGTCCGTCCAGTGGTCTAGTGAAGTTCTAATACACTGACAAAGGCTCAATTCCTGCTGAAGGACTTATTCTTCTTAATTTTATTTTATTCACTTAGCTATAGAATCTTTATTTATTGAAAGTCTTATAGATATTTGGCAGCAAATGAACAGACAGATGATCTGATGGTAAGTAATCAGCGCTGCCCAAGGTCATGCGCAGCATCGAGCATGTTACGAGTGCGTTGCCGGCCGTAATTCAGGATGGGACAGGCTAGGGTTCGGATCTCCGGTAACCTCACTCAGTCCAACGTAAGGTTTGTTTTACGCCTGTTTTTTGTGAGGCAAAGCCGATGTGGTACCCGTCGAGACGGCCCATTCATGCTGAAGCATGGCTTAGTATCATATTCTAGCCACTGCCCCACGGTTTCACCCGCAGCTCGGCTCGTAGGTATTTGTCGTAGCGTGATGTTTTATAGCCTATAACACTCACGAACATTGTAGCTATCCATCAGTGAAAGAATTTTGGAAATAAGGCCAGCGTTTCCAAGGTTTTCCCCTACATACAAACTTACAATTTGCAAATTTTACCTCTTTATAATATTAGTATAGATAGTATTGATGAAACTGCCAATATTATATTTTTAGACGTTCATTCATCTAATTTTGCTCTAGGTACCTTATTCTATGATAAGAATATTCATCATCATCATCATCATATCAGCCACAGGACGTCCACTGCTGAACATAGGCCTCCCCCATTGACTTCCAGATAGGCCGGTTGGAAGCGACCTGCATCCAGCGGCTTCCTGCGACCTTAATCAGGTCGTCTGTCCACCTTGCGAGTGGACGTCCCACGCTGCGCTTGCCGGTACGTGGCCTCCACTCGAGAACCTTTCTGCCCCAGCGGCCGTCGGTTCTACGCGCTATGTGCCCTGCCCATTGCCACTTCAACTTACTAATCCGCTGGGCTATGTCGGAAACCTTTGTTCGTTTGCGGACATCCTCGTTTTTTATACGGTCTCGCAAAGAAACTCCGAGCATAGCCCTCTCCATAGCGCGCTGAGCGACCTTGAGCTTCTTTATAAGGCCCACAGTAAGAGACCACGTTTCAGTTCCATAGGTCATCGCTGGTAACACACATTGATTATAGACTTTCGTCTTAAGGCACTGAGGTAAGTTGGACGAGAAGATGTTGCGTAGTTTCCCGAACGCTGCCCATCCAAGTTGGATTCGACGATTGACCTCCTTCTCGAAATTGGACCTACCTAGCTGGATCACTTGTCCCAGGTATACATATTCGTCAACAATTTCGAGGTTAGAACTCCCAACTGATATCGGATAGGGCGTGACATGGGCGTTTGCCATGACTTTCGTCTTGTCCATGTTCATTCGGAGCCCTACCTGTTGAGAAACTCTACAGAGGTCATCGAGCATTGTGCTCAGATCCTCCAGCGATTCTGCCATGACTACAATGTCGTCGGCAAACCGGAGGTGAGTGATGTACTCGCCGTTGATGTTGATGCCAGATCCTTTCCATTCCAAGAGCTTGAAAGCGTCTTCCAATGCAGCGGTAAACAGTTTCGGAGATATGACGTCTCCTTGCCTTACACCTCGCTGCAGAGGAATATTCTTAGTGCTCTGGTTTTGTACTTGGACCGACATAGTGGCGTTTGTGTATAAGCACTTCAAAACCTCGATGTACCGAAAGTCAATATGGCACCGCTGGAGAGATCTTAACACAGCCCAAGTCTCGATCGAATCAAAAGCCTTCTCATAGTCCACAAACGCCAAGCATAGTGGCAAGTTATACTCCTCGGTCTTCTGTATAACTTGCCGCAGCGTATGGATGTGGTCTATGGTACTATAGCCTTTCCGGAAACCGGCTTGTTCGGGAGGCTGGAAGTCATCGAACCTACGTGTGAGACGATTTGTGATGACCCTCGAGAATAACTTGTAGACATGGCTCAGAAGTGAGATGGGTCTATAATTTTTCAGTAGAGTGTTATCTCCCTTCTTGAAGAATAGTACCACCACACTTCTGCTCCATGCCGCCGGCGTTGCTCCTTCGAATATGACGGAGTTGAAGAGCTTCTGAAGGACTCTCAGTACCGGCGTTCCGCCCGCTTTCAGAAGCTCTGATGTGATTCCGTCCTCGCCCGGCGCCTTGTTGTTCTTGAGCTGCTTGAGGGCCATCCTAATCTCGTATAGGCTGATGTCCGGGATATCCTCGGTATAGTGTCGGGTGAGTTTAGCTCTTGGATCGGCGACTGAGCTAACAGGTCTAGTGACCGATGTGTATAGCTGTCCATAAAACCTCTCGATCTCACCCAAAACTTCGGCCTTCGTCGACGCTACACTGCCATCCTCCGCCTTCAGCTTCGTCAGCTGTGTTTGCCCAATAGACATGTCCCTAGCGAACACTTTGGAGCCTTGGTTCCGCTCTATCGCTTCTTTAACCCTATTGGCGTTAAAGTTGCGGATATCGTGTCGCATGGACTTCCATATTTGTCTATTGAGCTGCCGATGTGCTTTAGCATCGGCAGAGGTCTGGAGTACCATAGCACGTCGTTCTGCCATGAGTTTGAGGGTGCGATCGGTAAGCTTCTGCGGTCTGTCTTTTCGGCGGGGTCTAAAAAACTTCGACCCGACCGCATGGACAGTTTCTACAAACCTGTTGCTAATCTCGTCCACTGACTCGCAATTCTCCAGGGATTCAAAACGATTCGATAGCTCGATCTGAAAGCTCTCGGGACAACCGATATGTGCATTTGAAGGTCGGAGCGTAGACTTCATCAGACGTGATCTTTCCAGCTTTATATTGATATTCAATGTGCCTCTGACCAGTCGGTGATCGCTGCCGGTTTTTACTTTATGGATCACAGAGACATCATTGAACATCTGTCGCTTTGTTGTCATGATGAAGTCGATCTCATTTTTTGTGGAACCGTCCGGGCTCATCCAGGTCCATTTCCTGTGAGACGGCTTCTGGAAAAAGGAGTTCATCGCAAAGAGGTCCTCCTTCTCCAGGAACTCAGCCAGTCTCTGTCCCCTGTGGTTCCGTTGCCCATACCCGAATTGCCCCACTCTCAGCTCGTTATCGCCTCGAGTTCCCAGTTTCGCGTTGAAGTCCCCCATAACAACATTGAAGTAGGTTTTATTAGTATGTATGGCCCTACTTATGTCCTCATACATAACCTCTACTTCCTCGTCTGGGTGTGTCGAGGTCGGTGCATAAACCTGGATAACCTTCAACGAGTATCTATTGGATACCCTGAGTATCAGGTACGCCACCCTGCTCGACACACTTTCGATGGTAAGAATGTTGTTGACGAGGGACCTGTGGACGAGGAACCCGACACCACCTTGGGACAGTTGTTCGCCCTCCCGGTAGTAGAATAGGTTGCCGGATCTTAGGGTTATCGTGTCCTCGCCCTCTCGTCGGACTTCTGACAACCCCACAATACTCCAGCGCAACCTACCCAATGCCTCTTCCAGCTCAATAATCTTCTCGTCTGTCCTCAAAGTGCGAACATTGTGTGTTACCAGGGCCAGTCGTCGTCGGGGGTGGTAGCCTTTTCTCCACCTCCGGGGATTCTTAGCACCCCGTATCCCGCCGTTACCCTGACCGCTACCACGGTAGCCAGGAACGGCGGGACTGCCGGAGACTGGGGGCCTGGTTTTATCTGAGCAGTTCATATGGGGGGATTTGCCAATACTCACCACGCTTGGCAGGCGGGTTGGCGAGCGCAGTTAGGTCACCGATAATTTTTAAAGAATGCTGCTCCCCATTCCTCGGTGTCTGGTCGCAGTTTTAGGACGTACCCGGGTCCATAGGACGTACCCGGGTCCATAGGACGTACCCGGGTCCATGTAATCATCATAATCAGTCCGGATAAGAATATTACCAGTTACTTAATTGTTGTTGCGAGTTTGTTTGGCCTATCTCACTGAACCTTATCTATCAAAGCTCGTTGTTAATGAATTCGGAAACGTGATTCGTAAACGTAACCTTGAGTTAATATAAAACCCAACCAGTACGTACATATAAGAGTAGGTACCTCCATGCATACCTAGTATTTTAATTTATTTTATTTAATCTTTTATAATCAGACGACATTATTATAAGTAGAGATCTATCATGAAGGTTACTTACCCCAGTCCTTAGCAGTTAGTTAGGGTAGATGGAAGGAAAAAAGGACTGATATGGCATAGTACTCTTTATACCATAGATATAGGTTTTATTTTTGAGGGCTAAAAAACATCAAATGACTTCTCTCACCCAGGGTGGGGCGTGACGAAGTATTTAGACTCTCTCTGACGAAAAACAACCTGGCTGAGAGCAGGTAATATTTGAAAAAGATTCCAGCTTTATCTACCTCGTAGGTAAATAACAGTTAGGGAGCGCTAGCTGCAACAAAGGATATAAATGTAATGAATGTAGCTGTGGGTGACAAATTGAAGTTAGCCGAATTAAAAAATATTACCTACTTAGGTATATTAATAATTTATTTTACTATACATCTATTTTAGGGCATATACTTATACCTACATATATATTAATCGACTCAACTGCACAGTACCTACCTATCTGAGTACGGCAGTTAGTTATATAAAAAAATGTAGGGACGTATTAGTTATTAAGATTTATACAAAAATAATGTACCAATTTACAGTATCTAATGGAAATTTTGAATTATAATATCCCATTTTTTTAAATAGGTATGGAATGTCAACACATTTGACCTTAGTGTGTGCGATAACAGTCACAAATGTCAAACATTTTGAAACCATTAGAGTTCTTGTTTGGGTCGTATACGGTACCTAGTACTACCTAGCTTACTTGGAGATGGTTTGGCTACGTGCTCAACCATTAAAAACAACTCCTGCTTTAATTATGATTTACTAGCTTCCAACCGCGTGTTGATAAAAAGCAGTCTGTTCATCCAGCACGTCGATTCTATGAAACTTATTTGATTTTGAATCATGTTCGAGTACGAAGAAAGTGTCGAAGTGACGGGGAAATTAAATTTTAGAATGCCACTTTTAACGTCATCTCATACTTTATCTATGAAACTGTTGCTGTCAATTTAGTTCAACTCGCAAGTGTAGCGCTAGTGTACTAATTAATACTCACAGCGAATTCACATTCGAAGTTTAGAATGAAGTATTACAGAATCACACTGCAGGGCATCATCTACATACGAAATTAGTAGGAAGTACAGGGTAACCCTATCTAAAGAGTAAGTTATTTTAAGATAGGTAATAAAGAACTACATAGAGTAAAATCATTTTATTTATATTTTAGTATACTAACAGACAGCATACATACATATTATAGTTTATATGGATTTAGTAGCAATTATTCAGTCTATGACTACAATATGTTAATTAAATTACACATTAAAGATAATACCTAACAATGCACATTCAAATAAAAACATATACATACAATACAACATTGTCTACATATAATATAATACTTTTATACACCTTGTATTTTCATATAATTGAGTGTCTTTGAAGCATTCTTAATATGACTATTATTTAAAATACAGTTAATTGATTTTTATTAGTAGGTAATCTCTTTAGATCAATTTTTATTCGGATATCATTTTTGATTTTATGGTAGGTATTTTACTAATCAAGTTTTAGGAAAAAATGTGTAAGTATCAAAATCAACATTTCAGATTTAAAAAATCTACAACTTAAAGAAAATATACATATACAATAATTACGCGAATCAAAAATATTTGAACGAAAATACTCAAATTTTCTTATTCTACCAACGTGGCAACATCTTCATAACAGGGTTTACGGGCTACGGGTTACGGAAACTTGTACCGCGTAAACGCTCTTAAATACTTATCAAATTATAAAATAAATAACAAAATAAAAATATCACATTGTTTTATGTAGGAAAACTCGCATCAGATACAATTTTAATTAGGTACAGTGTGCATAAAATTGCTCTCATACTTTAAAATGAACAAACGTTATAATGTCATCTCTTTCCTGCTCATTCTTCATAGCTTGTTCCGTCTCGCTCTCACTCATGGTTGTACTATTTTACGACCACTGTACTTAGGTAAATAAGATTAAAAATTGTGTTTAGTTGCATTAATTACTTAAAACCAATTCACGTAAATACGAAGACATTTATTTTATTTTGCACATTTATAGGGGATACAGGAACAAATATGGTCGCTATACAAAATTGAAATACCTGGTATGGCTAACACTTAAGCTGTTTCTTATGCCACTCTAAATAAATAAAATTATATCGTCTGTCATGGATACAGTGGAGGCTATATGTAAGAACAACTTGTGTTTTGTTTGAAGGGAGGAAACCTTCAAATTGCTTTTCCCGCCGGGAAAAAGGAGGGGCGAGAGGGAGAGTCAGACTCTTACTCTTACTTTCACTGACTAAGAACCACCACACATCCTTCTCCAGGCCAGGGCAGTGCCATACCTGGACACCAATGTCTAACACTTAATTCGCTGATATCAATTTAGCTGACAGACTCCCCTTTAGTAATCACTATAAGTTAACATTGAACATTGAAAACAAGCTACACAAACCTAATTAATAATAATAATAAGTTCAAGTCACACTTATCTGCCGGTAATTGGTAACTAAACAGTCTTTTATGTCCGCCATGACGGATGTCAGTCGCGCTATCTCAGTGTGTATCATCTCCAATGTACTTATTATCTTGCTTGTACCAAACACTTTCTCCCGTTCAATGGACAGAAATGCTGAAGCCTTGTCATCACACTCTGAAAATAAAATAAAAATATTTTGATAAAATTGTTGTTACTTTGGTAAATTATTTCAAATGTATATTTGTAAGTCAAGTCTAATTTGTTTAAATTAGACTATTATGGGTAAAATAGTCAGTCTATCGATCAGTATTCTCAGTGTGAAGCTATTTTTTGTTTCAAAGTGTAGATTCCGGTGGAATGAAGAACGAGCAAGAAACTCCATGGTTACTCTTTTTCAATCAGTTTCACAATCAGATTCTTTGTAACATTATTAGGTTGGTTACTTTTGTAAACATAACATGCACATAAAATATACACAATATATGTAGGTGTTAATAAAGTTTAATTAAAAGATTTGGATGGGCAGTGATAACAAATAATTATTTTTGTGAAAAGATTTTGAACTTTATTCCTAAATCTTAAGGTTGAAAATCTGTATAAAACATCCAAAATTAATCATTTCATAGAAAACAACAATTTGTTAAGTAAACTATCTTACAGCTTACAAATAAACAACTTAAGCTAACTGTAATGTTCTCGAAAGTAAAAACCTTCGAAACTTTTTGGCAATATCACAAAAATAGAACAAATATATACCTGAATCAATACACTGTTCATTTCTAGGTCCAACTTCAGGTTTGCAACTTGAGTTGCTGCCTGATGCATCGTAATCCATGTCCGAATTGACTGGTGAGCGTTGCTTTCTTCGTCGCTTCGATCGTGTGCCAGAGCCTGATGAAGTATAAAATATTAAAATGCTTTAGTTTGACTTTTAATTGGTACTAGACCACTTGGTCCAATTTTTTTTTACTACAATCTTATTATTATTATTTGTAGACAGGCAGGCAGTTGAAACAACTGATAATGCCCGCATCCTGTTAATTTCCACTAGTTCATTTCTTGCAGTTAAGTAAATATTTATCCAGTCGATTTTTAAATTGGTTCAAATTTGGGGCTGAAACCACATTTTCCGGGAGCTTGTTCCACGCTTCAACTACTCCATTACTGAGAAAGTGTCTGTGAGGATTGTTATGTGATCTGTTAGTGGTAAGTTTTAAGTGATGGCCTCTAAGGTGGGTGTTTTCGATAAGATTTTTGTTTCTTGTTTCAGTCTTCTTGGTCTTATTGGTGAAAAACATGTACTTACTACATATTCAAGGAGCCGATGTTGGTTCTCAATTACAACAACTTTTTCCATGGGGCCAATTTCAAAATCTCAAAAATGAATTTATTTCCCCATATATATAAGTCGTGGTGGCCCGGAGGTTAAGGCGCCCGCTTCTTATGCATGAAGGTGTGTGACCTGGCAAGTACCAATGTGACTTTTTCCGAGTTATATGTACTTTCTATGATTATTTAGACACCACTGACATACGGTGAAGGTAAACATCGTGAGGAAACCTGGACTTATAATTTCTAATTATAAGTTTGAAATCGCCAACCCGCATTGAGCAAGCGTGGTGATTAATGCTTAAACCTTCTCCGTGTGAGAAGAGGCCTTTGCTCAGCAGTGGGCACTTATAGGCTGATGATGATGATGATGATACAAATCGCTACAGAACATTTTGCATGACAAAGTAATTTTTTTTTTTTGAGATTTCTATATTGGTCTTTTGGAAAAAGTTGTTTTATGTGAGCACCATAATCAGGTCCTTGACCCTCGTTCAAAATGACACCCTGTATAGTGAAATATCATTTTCGAGGACATAGCCATTATTTTTCAGTATTTTGCTGACATTCAACTACACATTAAGGACCTGTGTTTGTTTAATTTAGTAAAATCAACTTTAAAAAGGTATTATAAATAGAAGTATCTTGTTTCATTTAGGGCTGATTTTTTAATGGTCAGATAAAAGTTACCTGGGGAATGAAGAAGTATGATGCTGTCGCATCAGAATTTTTGTATAAGACAGTGACAATAACAATTTTATTCCTTAGCATTTATGTTACTATTGAAAAATCAGCCCTTAATTTTAGAATAAAGACAAAGTCAAGTTTTATTCCATATATCATTATGGCATTGGTATAGTAATTTGGTGCTTACCTAATCCCTTGTTATCACCACTGGCAGCCAGATCTATAGTTGGTTTCCTGTCAAGTGGACTGCTTGGCCCAGCACCATTATCATTTGATGTTTTCTGCCTTTTACGTCTGGCTGATGGCTCTGTAGGGTCTGGTTATAGAAATCTCAGTATTAATCGAACTATTTCTCATGCTTCAATTGAATATGAGGAAAGTTTATAAGCACCAACTGGCATTGTAATAGACTAACTTCAATCAGAATAATTGTTATGTCATTAATGTCTTTTATTTGGTCTTTGCAACATTTTATAAGTTCATTTACTCACCATAATACTGGTCAATGGGACTGCCATCTGCATTCACTGCATAATGTTCATCAAATCCCTGAAATAAAATAAACATTTATACAAACTTCGCCTATGCATTTCAATTATTTATTTGTATGATTTTGTCCATGCAAATAGATCACTTTGTGTACCTAAAGATTAAAATTGTATGTAACAGCAATACCATATAGACACAATTCATTTGCAAAAAATTGTATCAGCTGTGATTTCTTAATAATTATCCCTGATTATACCTACATATTAGAGTTGGGACAAGGACAAACAAACCTCTTCAGACAATGGATCATTCATAATGACCACACCATCAACGGCGCTGTCTCCTATGAGAGCTATTATGTTCTCTTCCATTGGTGACAACGGTAGGATCCCTTCTGCCAGTGGTCTGTCTCCATCCTTGGCAGCTTTCAATTCCAATGCTCGCCGCCTCACTCGGTACTTCCAATCACACCAATACTGCAAATTATTTGTTGCAGGTATTAAAACAAAACCAAGACTATGTACTTTTTAATGTAGTTTCTATTGTGTCCCATATACACCTGCAGTGAAGTAGTTATTAAACCTCCTTAGTTATTCTAGTTATTTAAGAAGACATAGACAACATGCCTTATTGAACTAAAACCTTCTTAGTTATACCAGTTTATTTTAAAAAGCATAAGCCTATTATTTTAAACAAGTTGGATTTGTTTACAAAAAAAAAGTGGTTTACCTTAGACCAGCCCTTCCCATCTTTCAATGCACCATTTTTGATGGCATTCAGTTTCTTAGCACACATGTTCCAGACCTTCACGGTGTGGAATTTTCCCCGACGTCGGCGCCCTCTGGTCAGTCCCCTAGCCAAGTCTTCATGTTCTTTGAGAAAATCTAATAGAGCTGTCAGTTGGTCATAGCTCACTTGTTTTCTTTTGGGTTCTATAAAAATAAAAAAATATTTGAATAATCCTTAACTTTAGGTAATTGATTGATTCCAAATTATTGATCGTCGTTTTACAAGTATTTTATCAATATTATAGTCGTTTTTTTGTTAAGCCTAGATTTCATTACAATAGTCTATAAATTGTAAACATACTTTTTGTTTTCATTCTTTCAAACTTCACTATTAATTGTTTTCTTTACAATTAACGGTTTATATTTATTCAAGAAACTCCTTTTTTACCTTTGCGTTTTTACTTAGCACTTATCCAAGCAAACGATTAAAAGAAAAATAAAAACACTTGCCTGCATCCATTTTGTAAGGCTCTTATTTGGACTTTATTTTAGTTGCTTTCAGATGGATTTCGTTTCGAATTACATACATTCACTATCGAAGTATTAGTAGCAAGATTTTCTAATGGCTTTGTACGTATTTACACAATTTTTACTATCGGTTACAAATCATCTCGTTCACCTGATCGGACTGCAGGATAATCGACTTATTTTCCCTACAGTCCACTGTTTTACCGACAAATTATAGACCCAAGGATGCGCGCGCAGCATTCAACTTCATGTTCATCCTTCAGCGCTTCAATCATGAAATTATTAAGCTCTATTGTGATATTTTTTACGAGTAAACAAATAAATAATCAAACCAAAACAAGAATTCACATGACGTTATTTTTTAGCGATTGACAGCAATTTATTCCTTGCCACAATAAAAAAAGAAAGTACACTTTATTTGTCGAGTATTATAAATTAATTTACTGAACTTTATTTCCTAGGTAGTTTATAGCCTTACTTGTGGACTAATAATATTAGATACAGTGATATTATTTATATTCTTATCAAATTAATATCTATCTACACATTTAAATAATATTTATAATTTTATCTGACTACAGAAGTACAGAGTATAATTAAAAACATTTAAATTAATAATATCTATTCTCAGGAATTTAAAAATCTTCCTTCCTAATAAACTTGAAAACGAATTGAAAATAAATGCTTTTTAGCTCACTTAGCGCAGCTTTCGGGCGCTTTAATGCTTAGTCATCAAAGCAAATATTTGCTTCCCGCCCAAATTCAGAATAGCTCGAACAAATTAAAAATACCTTGCGTCGCTGTGATTTTATCATTATGTGGGACACTTTTAAATTGGTCGTATATAAATCTTTCAGGTCGTAAAATTGACAAGTGATACAAACATATCGACAGAGGTTTCCGGTTTCGTGAATTATCTGAAACCTTACTTCGTAATGAAATGGTGAAAATAATTTGATTTATTCAATTTCAATTAAGTTAAAATGGTATTTGAGACTCTATATTTCCTGCGAAAGGTAAGTTCTAGCTATAATTCCTATGCTATTGTGACCACAATAAGGGCACTAAGTACATAACATATATGTTTATGTGTACACTTGTTTGTTTTGACGTTTTAAGCCCATCATTAGGCAGTATTTTCATTATTCCTATTTATCATGCAATGTACGTACTTACGGAGATAATAAATACATAGTAAACACAAAAATCTAGCGAATTTATTGCCAACGTTGTCATTCGTTATTGATTTTGTGATATCAGTGGAACACTCGATCTGTACGCTTCTATGTATACTCTAGCCATCGGCAGGAAATAAAGGGTTTTTAGAAAGTTCAATTAGGCAAAGTAATTTGCTAACAATTTCAATAGGGACAGGAAGTTAGTAGATACCTACACATAGAGGTACGTAGGTAGAATACATTTATGCTATGGGTATTTTTTTATTCTTAGGGGGAGGAGAATGGTCAAGAATGACTTTTTTGCCCTAGGCAAGATGAGGGGGGTCTGACGCTTACTGACTAAAAACCACCCCGTTCGTTGTTCTGCTCCAGGCCGAGGCTGCTATATCTTGTTGCACTTGACCCTCAACGAACCGGCTGAACATCAGCCCTTTTGGGTCCTATATGTGGTGATGTGTTACCTCTTAGTCCGGAGATCGTCAAGCGATTCCCGAAACCCGGAATGTCTCCTACTGCGATGGCTAGGGCATGAGGTGTATAGTTGTCTTACTCGCTCCACCTCCTTCTTTGCGAACTTGACTGCTTTGCAAGAAGAGGAGACGGCTTCCAATTCCTCTCGCTCGGCACTAATACCGGCCGTGAGAGGTGGCCGCAACCGATCTCTTACCTAAGGACAAAGTGGTGCTTAGCCTAAGCGAGTAAACAGTGACCGCGTCCTCCGGTCCTCACAATGATAATACCCGAGCGTTTCCGACCGCCGGATCCGAAACAGCAAAGCGTCGGTGATTTGGAAGCACCGGCATTAGGAGGAAGGTGAGGACGCCATAACGCTATAACTCCCCAAGACGCTCTGGTCTTAGGTACTAAGTAGTTATCTTGATCAATATATTTTTTTACCTATTATCTTGTAAGGCTTTGATTGTTTTCTACTTCTATACTACTTCATTCAGTTGCTTTGAAGAAACTGGCATTAGGCTACGATGTGTGGCGCACAATAAAAATATTTTTTCTTAGAGGCACTCTTACTGAAACACAAGGGTTCGAAAAATCCTCTTTGAGTGCTTTGGACATGCTTCCTTAAGCATCACCGTTATTAGCCGGATATATCCACTTCTGAATAAAGGTCTCCCCCTTCATTCTTCACGCCGAACGACAACATAGATATGTAAATAGAGAGATTCTACATATTTGAATTGCTCACTAGCTGAGTCAGTTACAGACCCATTAACAGTTTTTGTTTTACCTAGTAGAGCAAACAAATTGCATATCCGCTCTCTTGGCTCAAACATTGGCCCCAACACAGCCATGGTCAACAGCCACTCGACACTACAGAGGGCTAAGTTTATTTGTACAGTCGCTTAAACGCCTTCGTGGCGATCGCGTGTGTCGTTGACCGGAAAATTCCCGGAGTTTTTCTTATTTGCTTTTGCCGCCATAAATTTAACTAACGATAGAACAGTTTTTAAAATGTGATCGCTTTATTTGTGGGCAAAAATGGAAATTAAAGTTGATGTGGTGAGTTTTTTTTTAGTCTTCAATTTACGTTCATAAATGTAATAACTAGGCATCTATGAGAGATAGATAAGTTCCTATTTTATATTAAGCGGTAAGAGTGAAACGCAATTAAATTGTGCCTATATAAAAAATTATACATTAACATTTTCTTTTCTAGAAAATAATATTAAATTTCATTACTTAATAGTTTTTACGTATGAATTCAGATTATTAACACTACATTTTCACGAAAAATTAAAAAAATACTTCATGATATTATTCTGCAAAAATTGGGTAGTATCATAATTTTAGAATTACCTTATTCATCCACAATGTTTTTTTTCTCAATAATCGGATATATTATATAGAAGATCTTTAAAAAAGTAAAAAAAATACCTATATTCCCGATGCCTGCAAATTCAGTAGTTAAGTAGTTTTCACACGTTTTTGGAGTGCCTAGGTACTAAAAATAACTAGGCAGCTAATTTAAAATAAGGGATCACTTAAGACCTATTAATATTATGAAATGTCTGCGTTCTTTTAACAAAGCTAGACAAATTAAAACCTTCAATTACTTACGTATACTCTAGTTACTAGTTACTCACTTCGGTCCAAAGATAGATAGCCAATTCCAGTGCACTTGCAATTTCAATTAACGTGGATACATCCTTTGTTTTACAGCCAATTGTTAGGTACTAGCAAACTAACGACACAATATCAACATACAAATCTAATTCCGTATTACAGATGGCTCTACTTACTAATTTCACCGCACCCAGTCTTCAATTACTATTAATATGGCTACTTGATGTTTTAGATGGCTTAGAACTACCCAAAACGATGACCGCGCCCTCTTGTGTAAACTAATATTGCCGAACTATCATTAATTTTAATATTAAGGGTCGGCTTAAGTAATCTGTTGTGTTGCTTTCTAATTTGAGCTTTTTATCGGATTAATCGATGTGGATAATGGTTAAAGTGTTGATCAGTTAATGGAGTAAAACTTCGTGTCTATCTACAAGCATTATTTGAGAACCACTTGCGTTAATCAACAATGCAATTTGCATTACAGGGTTTCTTATTTCTGTTATTGAGGCTTCATCTATGATTCAGAGATGATTTTACTAAACGGTCTAGTACTTAGTACCTATCTACTTTACAAGATTTATTTTTTGGATTATTTGGATAAATAATAGAATTAAGTAAACTGTTCTCATAAACACTGAATCGTAAAACTGATTCAGAAAAAGCCTGTTAAAGAGTTAGTAACCATGGAGTTTCTGGTTTGTTCTTCTCCATAGAAATCTACACTTTGGAACGAGCAAATATCTTCGATATCTATATTCGATATAAACATCAAACCGACAGTTATTTTGTTTAATGTTTAAATAGTACCTAGATTATTTGAATAATAAAAAGAAAAATTATTTGACTTTGACTTTAATAGAATAAATGTTAAGAGGTACACATATAGGAATTAATACCTACTGAGTTATACATGTTTCGGAAAACGAAGGCGTTTGCTCTATAAATATTTGAGATTAGATTCCACCTGCGACCTCGCACTCGTTTAAATGTATAGCATTCAGGAACATTGTATCAGAGAAAGAATTTTGGAAAACCGATCAACGGTTCCAAAGATTACTTCCTACATAATTATAAACTTACAAATATTACCTACCTCTTTATAATATTAGTAGACCAATCACCCCCTGACAGTTATTTTAAAAATATATTTCATGTACTACTGCTTCCTCTACAGATTTATTATAAGTAGGTAAGGATTAATATATATATAAGGCTGACAATAAACTAATGAATTACATCAATGACAACAATAACAATTAAAATATTTAGACTAAAAATAAATTACGACCAAGCTATAAACCTTAGAAAATACTGAACATAATAAATCAAAACCCGTATTATGGAGATCAGGGCCCGATATGGGTGCCAATGAAGCGAGGCCATCAAACCGACGCCATTATCCTCCGAACACCTCAATGTGATTTGAATACAAAAAAGCCATTAAGTGCTTTCTTACTGCGCCAGTAAACAATGAAATATTATGGCCATCGAAGCACTCAGTAATGAATGATGAACATAAAATTGATAGCGTTATTGTATAGGAACTGTAGTCAGACGTCTTAACGGTCTGTCTTCATCTGTTTCTGGCGGGTTTTTGTTCCTCGGGGCTAGTCTTTGACTGATAGATCTTATCTAGTATATAACAATATCTAATAACTACTTCGCAAGGTGCAATGCAACATACTTACTGTACATTTAGAATATTCAGATCTCGCTTTTTTATCAATATTTGAAATAGGCGACCAACTTTCCTCTACACCTAGCTTCGGGTGCGACACTACCAGCATGCACACTAAAAATAATGTCATAATTTCCTTTAATATCAAGATGATCGGCTCGTAGGAGAATGGAAGACATTAAAATGACCTTACGCCAAGCTTATAGAATCATTATAGCACATACACTCATTACTAAGAATATGGTATTAGGAGTGGACGACGTTTATGGGTTATGACTTTTACGACAGCAGTAAAATGGACGTTAAACGCTGCCATTTTCCTTTGTATATCAATCAGAAAATTAGGAGAAGTTAATTGTTCTCCTACCGACCAATCATTTAGTGTTTGGCCTGGATTTTGTCCAGTGGCGGGAATTTCTATGACGTCACGATGTCAAGGCATTATTGTTGGTAATGCTGAAGTGAAGTATACTTGGCAGCCGGAAGGTAATATTTATACGTCCATTGTTGACTTACGGAACTCAGACATTCTGCGTTATTGCAATTGCAATTTATGACGAAGCTCCTGTATGTATGTCGGTGGCTCATGTATTACATCAATGATTGTAAAAGGGTGTGTTTCTTTGCGTCAAAGTCCATGTAGTTTTTTTTTTTTCTTTAATATCGTCATCAAGCAGAAGACACCTGCTGCTTTTGTTGACCTCCGCCCTGCAACAATCTCCTGACAACCTGGCATACTTACAATTTTAATCACATCGTGGGCACCGTAACCGATACCCTGAAATACTCTGAATACTAGTGGCAAAGTTTTTTTTTATTTTTTTTTAATTTACAGCACACGGTGCACCCCACGAGGATTGACAGAAGACCTCCCCAACCTAAAGCGACTTGGTGCACACCAGATTCTACACCGATTCATACTACGTAAGTATAATGACCGTATAAAAAATATCTACGGTATTTCCTTTTTACCTAATTGCTTTACTACTTTAAAGAATTTCAATTCCAGCAAGAAAAAAACGTAGAAACTCCTGCTAACTAAGTATACCTATCAGTTATTATTTATTTACAGATTAACTAAAACAAGGTCGAACATCGAAACCAAATCTGAACTCCAAGATGGACAGAGTAAAGATCGGTATGATTTTTTTATAATTAATGTCCTTAGGTCATTAGTTTATCACTACATAGTATGAAACAAAGTCGCTTTTGCTCTGTCCCTGCATATATCCCAATATATGCTTAAGTCTTTAAAAATACGCAACGCAACGGATTTTGATGCGGTATTTTTAATAGAGACAGAGATAGAATAGTGTGTACCTGTATGTCTATCATATTGTGTGTTATACCCATTAAATAGTTGAGTATTAATATTGCACCCGTGCGTAGCAAAACTAAAATCGATAAGGCGGTACCTAAGTCTTAAAAAAGTCGAAATAATTTTCTTGTCAAAACACTCTAAATTTAAATCTTCTGGAAATATAAATCAAGCAGATTGATCAATAAAATTAAACATAGATAGTTGTGGAATTTATCACTGAGTAATATTTGCTCTCATGCTAATAACTTAATCAAATTTTGATGAAATTACTCTATTACCTGTTGCTTTGTTAATGTAGGTATTTCTTTACTTATTGACCAATTCTGTGATTAAAATTGACAATTCAAAAAGTTATTGCGTGACCTTTTAAAAATTTCCAGAGATTTAAGTCAGCTGCAAAAAGTACAACTTTTTTCGCCAAGTCCGCCACCTGCATACAAATCCGAAAATGATATAACACAGGCAGATACGGAACTGAAAGAGTTCAAGCTGCCTTCGTCCAATGATAATTCACCAACGATGTAAGTATTTAACCTTTCAATAGTGGTCATTTGAGATATAAGAGAAGAACAATAGACGCGCAAACGTTGGGCTTGGAGTTGGAGTGGTTCTTCATTCATCAAATTAAGAACCACTACTTATTACTATTTAAAAAAGTGTGAAGTTCTTCCAAAAAACTTAGAAATTTTCTAAAAGTCCTCTTATGTGGTTGGTCTTCGTCTCCCTTCTCCCTGTGGATATCAGTTTTTGAGATTACAAGAGGTCTCATCGTTTCGAAAAATAACTATTAGGGAAATTTCTCTTTTTTTTGTACGTATGCAATGTACTTCCATATGATATCGTGTTATGAATTGGGTGCTAGATTTAAAAATATAATCTCTGTTTTGTCAACCTACCTTTGTATGGATACATTCAAGGGATAAGTTTTCCACGTGAAAAACATCTCCGCAAATAAAACAAGGGGACTGCTTTCAGGACTTCAAACTATAAAATTGAGTCTAATAGTTCATCTACAACCATAGGTAAATTAACTATCCAGAATGTTAAGTCACACCTATTTAAAAAGAATCTTAACATTTGTTTTTAGTCCGCCGGCTTCAGAAGACAAACTCGACGCAATAATCGAAACCCCACAAAGTCCAGTGCCGAGTTCTCCTTCTTATCACCACAAATGTCAAAAATTCGCTCAACTATCGGCTCTGCGCGATCTCTTCGTTCCAATAGATCCACAAGGTAATTGAGTTCAAGCAATTATAGTAAATACTTTTTAAATTGCCATAATTGATGGTCCCAGTTGGGCGCCAATTGAGGGCTCCGACGATTGTTAAAGAGCTTAGACAAGTTTATTCTCTCTCTACGAGTAGAAGGCGACTAAGAAAATTGCTTAGAGGCGTGTCAAGTAATTGCGGTTGGTAGACAATTACAGCTACCAGGTATTTACGCTGTGGAAACAATATTGACTGAGTAAATTTTAATTGCACCTCAGTCTGAATTTGCAAGAAAAAAGTAAGTCCTATTTTGTACAGTATGTTAACGATAATGCCGGTGTTTATTGTAATGGTATTATTTCTTAGGTCATTGTGATATAGGCTAAAATTATTAACTGATATGAATCCAAAACCATAAAAACTTAGTTCGAACCAATAAGCTACATAGCTAATGTCAAAAATCCGTAGGTTTTGTATTGATTTTGGCCGTAAAAAGCACGTTTTTAATAACCTATTTTATACATAACTGCAGGACCGCACTACATCAGTTGGCTTTTTATAATGACGATCAGCTACAGTTACAACGCTTGGTGCATAGTTCTCCGGGCTACATTCCCTTACCAGACTCCTAGCAACACTAGTATATGGATGGCATGCGACTACCTGAGTGACGTCATGTACCTTCTGGACACGGTGTTTGTAAAACCAAGGCTCATGTTCCTCCATGAAGGATTCTGGGTCGACGACCTCGCAGAGACACGGAAGAACTACAGGAAGAAGTCACAATATAAGGTAACGAAATAATAGGAAGAGGAAAATAATACGGTAGTTTCCAACTAGTCAAATTCAATACTTTTAAGTATCCAAATGTCAAAAACGATGCTTTTCTAAGAAATTTATACCTATGTTACTCCAAATTAATTATGATGGTCATTGTATTTTTGCGTCAAATATGCAGCTTACTAATTACTTAAAAATGAGGTTAAAAAAATATCGAAAATTTTATGTTATTTTTTTTTGTTTTTTTTTAACAAACGTTGCCCCGCATTAGGATTTTCTCCTATGTCGTGGGTGCTGTTACAAACATACAATTTCACAAACACATGACACCCAGACCCAGAACAACAATTTGTGGATCACACAAAGAGTTGTTCCGTGCGGGAATCGAGCCCGCGACACGTTGCACGGCAGCCGGTTGCCCAGCCACCGCACCAACCGTGCAGTCAAATCGAACCAAAGTCAAGTATCGACAGAATGATGAATAAAAGTGTAGTTATTTTTCAATGTTTTATTGTATAGAATCGTAAAAAAATCGTTTTTTTTGTAGTTTGACGTTATATCTCTCCTGCCATTGGACTTACTATACATATACTTTGGAACGAACAAAGTAATCTTACGCTTTCCAAGACTGTTGAAACTGCAAACGTTTTGGGAATTCCACCAGGCTATAGATAGAGTGCTTGCCTCTCCTTATGTTGTAAGTATAGAGAGCAAAATAATGGTTTTGAATTCTTTTCGTGTATATTTGCTGAGATTTTAACAAATTTTATCTGCATCAACAGGTCCGAATCGGCAAAATGCTCTTCTATATATTTTATCTGATTCATCTAAATGCATGTGCGTATTACGCAATGAGCGACTACATAGGACTGGGCAGTAATGGCTGGGTTTACGACAACCAAGGATCAGCCTACATTCGCTGTTTCTACTTCGCGACCAAAACTGCGACATCTATCGGCAAAAATCCAAAGCCTGAGAATACTATTGAGTATTTGTTCATGACTGCCGCCTGGTTGATGGGAGTATTTGTGTTTGCTTTACTCATTGGACAGATCAGGGATATTATTGCTACTGCTACTAGAACTAGGGTAAGTAAGGTTTGGTGAAGTTGCATAAACTAAAGTCTCATAAACAGTTTACTGAATTTAAAATACTTACCAAAAAACGCGAAGAATATTGAATATGGTAAGAAAAGGATAACGTATTATTAAAAAAACTAGCTACTTCTAGCACTCAGTAACTTTGTACCTATCAATTAGTGAAAGAATTTTCGAAATCCGACCAGCGGTTTCAAAGAACCACCCTTCTACATACAAACTTACAAATTTACCTCTTTATAATATTGGTATAGTTAATAGTTTTGCTTCTTACATGCGTTCAGACGGAGTATCGCAAGACCCTGGATGGTAGCAGAAGTTACCTTCGTCGTTTAAATATGCCAGTAACGCTGCAGAGACGCGTAGCATCATGGTACGACTACACTTGGAGTAAACAACGATGTTTTGGTGAGTCAACACTTAAAACATTTCTCATAACCTTTAATAATATTTTCATAATTCTTATTTCTCATTTCATTATTCTTATTCTACCATCGCAAATGACTTTAAGGAAGATAATATATGTTTTATTTATTTCTTCCATGGAACGCTTTTCCTGCCACAAACTCTAAAATTTAAATACCTAGGTCCCATGCTGGGCGCCAAATTGAAGTTAAGCATATCTTTTTTTTTCAGATGAACCCAGAATTTTGAACTCTTTGCCATCTAATATGAAACGTGATGTGGCACTTGAAGTTCACATGACAACATTAAGTAAGGTAATAAAATAAACTCATATTTTCAATGCTCAATGCTCAATGCAATATTTTCACAGCTCAATCAGCCAGCATTGCCAGGGATGACTTGCTATCTTTTAGAGTGTACCCTCTTTTGTTTCTGTTTTTTGAACAGTTTTCTTCACGATAACGCAAATGATTTCAGCTTCACTAGAGGGTAGACGGACAGACTGACATGCACAAAGCCTTGTGACATATATATATATATTTGCTTGACATTTAAAAGGGTTTATTTGAATTAAATGATTTGACTTTGTCAGGTACAACTATTCCGTGATTGTACAGACTCTCTGCTTCGTGATTTGGTCTTACAATTACGGCCGGTCTGCTTCCTCCCTGGAGACGTGGTCGTTCGACGCGGTGAAGTTGGCCATCAGATGTACATCATTTCTTCTGGAGAATGCTGCGTATGTGACTAGTTTAATTCTTTTATCTGTTAAAACGTGCGTTTACAAACATATAATGTCACATGACACACTCAACACCGTAAAAACAATATCAGGATTATATAGTCTTGTTCAACATGTTGCGCTTCAGCCGGATGCCAGGTAACTGTTGTGTCCGTTACCCAGGCCAGATGTTGTCGACAATGGTCATTTGAATCTTATAGATAATTAGTTGTGCGGCTTCTGTAATTGTTGCGCACATTTTTAAATTTGTTGCGCTTATAGTTTTTTAATTATTTCACAAAAACATTTCCTGCTGGCGTAACGTTACCACAGCCAGACCTTTTTCTTTCTAATGGGAATATTTAAATAAATATTAGCTATAAAATTAGTTGTCTAGATAAAGTAAATGTTGTGCCTTATTTTGTATTTGTTCTTTCTTCGGTTGCGAAGTTATTCGAGATTTTGCTGCGGTAACGTTTTTGGTTTTGCTAGATCTTTGAAATGGTTAAGCGGATTCTTATCATATTTTGTACACGACTTCCGAGGACTTAGTTTAAATTTGTTGTGCAATAACAAAACCAAAATAATGCATATTTTAAAGGTTTTTTCATTAAATAGAAAAACACTTCAATTGGCCCCAGCACTCCCAATAAGAAGTCGAAAGACTTACTTCAAACGTAATTTTAAAGCTTGTAACTGCCTTCAAATGTATGTGAAGTTTCATTAGTATCCCGTAACTATTTAACAAGTTATGATGATATTCAGTTCTTCACGAGCACGGTCTTAATGCACGCGGTGTTATTTGGCCACTGGCTTGGATATATGAACTGAATATTATGTCAATGATTAGTTGTTTAGATCAGTTGTATATCAGTAAAATTTCAGCTCAATACATTGGATAATTAATGAGATAATACTATTAAAGTCATTAGGAAGTGAATGACCGTGGTAAGCCGACCAAGTTTAGGTGGTTACGAAAAAGCGAAAACGCAGAACATTATGGTACCTTCTAAAAAATGTAGGATAGTGTTATAAATTTAGTACAGACATGTACAAAAGTTTAAAAAAAACTACATGATTATTCAAGATTTTTTATTGAAAGGTAAAATAATCATTTCAATTGAACTTTTACTCCTTTACTTATAAAAACTTGTGTTGCTTAGCAACCGATTAAACATCACCCGTTCTTGTCATTTCTATTTCAAAATGCAGTTCAAAAATCATCTAAAAGGTTACAAAAGTAACCTTCTGGCAAGACTGAGTGCGATAAGCAAACAATGTATTACCCCTTCACCCCACTCCTCCTGCGTCCTACCGAACGGCATGCTCTAGCGGTGATTTTTGATAATTTTGTGGAAGTGGAAGATAATGTTTTCTTTTATATTATTATTATATAGGTAATTACCAGTGTACGCGTCTGTACCAAAATTGTAAGGTGTATTATACTAAACATTTCAAAAGATAGTACAATGTTCTGCGTTTTCGCTTTTTCTTAACCACCTAAACTTGGTCGGCTTACCACGGTTATTCACTTGCTAATGACTTTAATAGTATTATCTCATTAATTATCCAATGTATTGAGCTGAAATTTTACTGATATACAACTTATCTAAACAACTAATCATTGACATAACATTCAGTTCATATATCCAATCCAGTGGCCAAATAACACCGCGTGCATTAAGACCGTGCTCGTAAAGAACTGAATATCATCATAACTTGTTAAATACTTACGGGATACTAATGAAACTTCACATACATTTGAAGGCAGTTACAAGCTTTAATATTACGTTTGAAGTAAGTCTTTAGACTTCTTATTGGGAGTGCTGGGGCCAATTGAAGTGTTTTTCTATTTAATGAAAAAACCTTAAAAATATGCATTATTTTGGTTTTGTTATTGCACAACAAATTTAAACTAAGTCCTCGGAAGTCGTGTACAAAATATAATAAGAATCCGCTTAACCATTTCAAAGATCTAGCATAACCAATAACGTTACCGCAGCAAAATCTCGAATAACTTCGCAACCGAAGAAAGAACAAATACAAAATAAGGCACAACATTTATTTTATCTAGATAACTAATTTTATAGCTAATATTTATTTAAATATTCCCATTAGAAAGAAAAAGGTCTGGCTGTGGTAACGTTACGCCAGCAGGAAATGTTTTTGTGAAATAATTAAAAAACTATAAGCGCAACAAATTTAAAAATGTGCGCAACAATTACAGAAGCCGCACAACTAATTATCTATAAGATTCAAATGACCATTGTCGACAACATCTGGCCTGGGTAACGGACACGTAACTGTTCCAACCGTGCAGTCATAATACACCATATCTGCCTTTTACACCTTCGATACCTACCTTATCAGTATTTGCTTTCATACTAAATTATTGCTTTTTATAGGCTAATAAATGTTTCTCCTTTCAGGTAATGTCGCAAGATGAGAAAGAAGTATTAGCTACTTTACAAGAGGGTTCTGTATTCGGAGAGATCAGTTTATTAGGCATCGACGGGTTACGACGTCGTACAGCTACAGTCAGGTAACGTTATATAGAAATAAAAGTTGGTGCCCAACGTGGGACTGGTTGTCTTTTCCTATAACAATTATAAGTATGTTAACTATAGCCAAGAATTTACCTAAAAAAACGTTGAAAAGGATAACTAGATCTACAAAGGTGATATTCTTTTATATTTTTAACATAGCGACGAGTCCCAAGTTGGGCGCCCCTTCATTTACAACAAATAGTTTAGTTTTATATAACTATACGGAACAAAAATCTTTACGTAATGACGCTCCACAGAGCGCGAGGCTACGCAAGTTTATTTGCGTTATCAAAAAGCGATCTCGACGCTGCACTAAAACATCACAAGCAAGCAGCTCAAGTACTTCGCATAAGAGCTGATCAGATTATTCGAGAAAACGCGGCCAGACAGACTAAACAACGAATGATAAGGCTCGAAGCGAAGAAAAGTGTCAGTATACATGAAGACGAGGGTATTGTGAGAAGAAGACTGTCAAATACTTCCACTTCTTCTAATTTGACCATAGAGGGCGCTAGGAGACAAAGGTCTGCAAGTGCCATGTCTAAAAGAAGGCTGTCTGCTGTATCTGAAAGCGGGGTTGTTGATCAGGTTTGTAACCAATTTATTTTCTTTAAATAAAAATTAAGAAAAAATTTGTGAATAGAAGAGTAAAAACTCATTTACACGATACCATTTTCTTGCTTTCTTGTACAAACAGGAGCAATAATTAAATTAAATAAATTTAAGGCTCGTTCACATTATACCATACGTATTGTTTAGACTCTGCATATCAGTAACTAGCTACTCTCGCGCGGTTTCACCCGCTGCTCAGCTCTATTTAATCGTAGCGTGACTTTTTATAGCCTGTAGCACTGAGGAACATTGTAGCTACCTATCAATGAAAGAATTTTGGCAATCCGACAAGCAGTTCCTAAGATTACCCCTTACACACAAACTTACAAAATTTAACCCTTTATAATATTAGTATAGATTGATTTCATTAGTAGTATGGAACAAGGCAAGAAACAATTGCATATTGTGTACCTAAAAGTGCTTAATTGAAAATTACTAACATTCGACACATTTTTTAAATAAAATGGATATGCATAATGTAAAAATAATAAGTATTAAAAAAAACTGTTAAACGGTCCTCTGCCAGTTGGTTTTGGTCCCTCGTACGCATTCCAAAGGTCCGGAATCTTGTGATCCCGTGAAAGGAATGAATAAGTATTTGCGGTAAAATTGATAATGATTTTCAAGACTGCCTTCGAACGTTTTTATCGATTTATAAATGGTAACGAATACTTATTTAACGATGTTTGTACTCGATAATAAGGTACTTCAGTAACAAAATCATTAATGGCCATAATAGTCCAGTAACTTTTCAAAACCATATAACTTGTGATTACAGAATCAAGCAGCCACTTTAGCAGTAACCTGCGACCGAGCACGAACACCACTACCAACAATCGTGCTATCAGGAGAATGAAGAATATTCTAGAACTTTTAACGTAAAAGGGGATTAAGGAAAAGACTTAGAAGTGTGCACTTAAACTGGGGATGAAAACGAAAGAATTTATTTTTTAAGAATAATTTGTGGAAAATGTTTTGATATTGTAGAAAGTATACGAAGTTATTGTAAGATCTTTAAATGTTTCCAAAGCGCAAAATGTGTATACCTAAGTACTAATATGACACACAATTAATCATAATTTCCTCACCGAATATATTTGTAAGTATTGTATTCGTAAAATACTATCTTCTGTAACGTTGTAGATTTGTATCACATTATCAGCCTATGAAAGGCCACTGCTGCAAAAACCTCTTCTTAACGGAGAAGGTTTGAACATTTTATTGATTTCTACCTTACTTCTAAGTTTCTTCATGATGTTTCCTCTGTAGTAATTTGTATTCTGGTGAGAAAATAAAGATTGAATTAGTAGGTACTTATATAGTCTTGCTTTGTAGGTACAAAGCCAGAAACGATTGTTAGACTAATGGCACATGGTTTTTAGCCAAATATAAAATGATTACCGGAAACAATTATGCAGACTATCGTAAATAGTCAAAATAGCATCGAAATGTGTTTAAGCTAAAAATAATTGTTTTCAAATCTTAAGTACGCAACTTAGATACCTTTTCATATGTGTACTTATTATTTTATTAATGTTCTAGTCGTTATACCTACGTATCCACTACCTACGAAGAAAGTAAACTTCAATGTTTTAATGAATATTATTAAAACATTTTTATTTTTATAAAGCTTGATAATTGACATACGTTTACGATCTAGTCACCTTATTTAAAAAATGTAAGTACCTAGGTACTTTTAATAAATATAATAAACCTATACCAAAAATATCGATGTTTCAATGTCTTTTAAGCTCAATATCTTCGTAAAGATGTATATTACATAAATAAATATAGTTATTTTTGTAAATAATTTATTATAGGCGCACGCCTATATACCTATATTAGACTGTGTCTATACATATGTATATTGATGTGTCAAAATAAAGGAACAATTAATTTAAATTTTGTTTTAATTATTTATTTTAATAATTTTTTTATCAGTTGTACCTAGTATTTACTAGTCATTACTGTACAAAAATATTTTTGCAATAGTACCGAACGTTGACGTTTTTTGCTCATTATTCTCTACTAGCTTCTGTCGCGCTGTTTCAGCTGCTCTCTGCTCAGCTCCTACAAATCGTAGCGTGATGCTTTATAGCCTAAAGCCTTTCTCGGTAAATATTCTAGCAAACACAAAAAGAATTATTCAATTCGAACTTGTAGTTTTGGAGATTAATGCGTACGAACAAACAAACTCTTCAGCTTTATGATATTAAATAAAAATAAATATATGTATAAAAGTATAGATATCTACGAATTTACGTATTGGAACAAGTACCTAGCTTCAATGTGATGAACCTTGGCGTTTCAAAAGTACCTTTTAATGGATATTTCAAATACATGCTTCATCTTTGGCTGCTTCCAAATTCTCGTGTAAATCATGAATCACCACCTCACAGAAAACCGGCGTGAAGTAACCACAGCGTTGTGTTTCGCCGTGTGAGTGAGGTTACCGGAGGCCCAATCCTTCCCCTCCCCCAATCCCTCCTTAATCCCTAAATCTCCAAATCCCTAATCCCTAAAAGGTCGGCAACGCACTCGTAACTCCTCCGTGGCGGGTGTCCATGGGCGGCGCTGATTGCTTACCATCAGGTAATAAGTCTGCTCGTTTGCCGACCTATCACATAAAATAAAAAATAAAAAAAATAAATCCATTGTGTAGATAGTAGTTAAGGCAATCCGTTTTGGTTAAAACTCAGTACGGACCCCGATAGCATTTGGTACCGAATCTAAAAAAGGCATATCAAAAATCGCAGTTGAAGGTAATAAATAAACTGTATAATAGGACAACCTAAATAGCTTATTAATTGAAGTTGCAATGACTAGCCAAATAGTACCAGGATAGATACATATACATTACTGCCTAAAATTAATTTATTGCCTTCATTCAGTTACTGTATTGTGACGTGATATTCAGAGGCATGATACGAATAAAACTGATAAAATAAGAACAAGAATAAACTAAGTATATATTTAACACGTTAGTAAATTCAATAATATGTAAGTGTACAAAGTGTATAGACAAGAGAGAAGAGAGAGAGGAGTTGAAGTTTTTATTTTGCGTAGGCGGTCGTCCTCCTTATACATAGAAACCGACAGTCGTATTTTTTACTTCCCCAGTCGTTCAATTACCTAACACCGTTCTAGTAAATTCACATTCGTTACTCTGGATGTTACAGATAAAGAAGTAACTGTAGTGAAACATACAAAAATTAAAAATAATAACTTACTCACTTAGATTTACTGAGAAAAGCTTTAAGTACTAGTTCCAAGTCACAGTCTCATTCATGAGCAGCGTGCGCGTCACGGCGACGTCGGCAGTCGACTGATAACTTGTCTTTACTTTAAACAAGCTGCTGTCGCGCGATTTGACCCCCTGCTCGGTTCCATTTGATCTTAACATGATGTTTTATAGCCTATAGCACTAAGGAACAATGTAGCTATCTATCAGTGAAAAAATTTTGGAAATCCGACCAGCTGTTCCAAAGATTACCCCCTACATACAAACTTACAAACATACAAACTTACAAATACAGAATAAAGAGGTAAACTCTTTATAATATTAGTTTAGATAGATGTAAATTATAGACGTTAGCGAAAACTTAGTGTACCTACCTACCTACTACCAACTATAAGGTATTGTTACCTAGTTCATATTTCAGACTTTTGGTCACTTATTCTAAAAGAAATGGGGTGATGGACTACTGGTACCTTCCCGCCTACCAATTTTTATATTGCTCCAAACCAATCATTAAGTAAAAACGCCAATCAACGCGACAACGATTAGCTCCATTATGTTTAGCTTGCGTGCATCAAGCGCGGTGACAAGAAATACTTTCACCAACTTACAATATCACTTGTTCCAAGGAATTTTCAACCCTAAACCGTATTGCTTAGGTTTTACAGAACGCAACAGTAAAATTTGTGAAAAGTTAATAGAAAGTTACGACAGACGGTGCAGTTTTTCAGTATTGTTCGTGTTTTTTTTTTCTTTGTGTAGCGAGGATTTAATCAACGTCGGCTATGATAGTAATTTGTGGTAATCGATCGATAGTAATCTACCTATTTACGGAGACAGTACCGCAGGCATCGGTTATTCAACCGATATTTAAGTTAGGCTTTTGAAGACAAAATATTTGAATAGGAATGGAATGGAATTTGAAAATGGAAAAACATCTTTGAATTACAGAAACATTTTTATAAGTACCTACCTAGACCCGAATAAATATACATATATATACCCATAGGACAGAAGTCCTTAGATATTGTTAAATGAACAATACCAAAGTTAGTTTCAATTCGGGTCCTAAACTGCTCACAGAGTTGTAGCATAGAATGATAGGGTTTTGTTAAGTACACAACTAGTATATGGTTATGAACGCCACTTTTTCTCATTTCAAAGGTAATCAATCATCCTTAATTTTTTACCTAATTAATGTTATTGCTTTACGCAAAAATAGATGGGCGGAATTAGTTTGTAAGTTTATATGTATGGGGTAAGCTTTGTAACCGCTGGTCGGATTGCCAAGATTCTTTCACTGATAGATAGCTACAATGTTCCTGAGAAAACATCACGTCACGATCAAATGGAGCTGAGCAGCGAGTGAAACCGTATGAAAGTAGCTAGTCTTTATATATGAAGGCAAGTCGTGTTGGTTAACTAAAGAACGAATGAACCGATTTGGCTGAAAATTGATAGAAAAGTAGGTAAAAACTGGGTGAAGGATAGGTATCTCGGAAGGATATGGTAGGCGAGGTATGGTAGGTAGTGTAGGTAGGAACGGCTTTACTGATTTTTGCCTATTTTAGGTCTGAGAATCCGCTACTGGCTAAGAAATAAGGGCTGTTCACCCTTAACATTTCGTTTTTTTATTTCAAAATATGTCCGTTTATTTATCTACCGAAGACAATAACACAGACATAGCAACTTAAATAAAACTTATTCTAAGTTAACCACTTATTCTCAACATTTCCCGATTACCGCATAATTTTATTTGTACGAATCGAAAGTTTTACATAAGAAAATTTCGTAGCTAACTGATTACAGGCTTCATTATTGACGTTGCGTGCCCTCACTCATTTCTTTATTGAAATAAACACAGCGAGGTACCTCGTAATATAGCAAAAAATAAACAGAGACCTCGTTTTGGGAAAACTTCACAAATTACGTTTTCATTGTTCAACTGAATCGGGGAGTTTAAAAGGTTAGGTATTACTTAGTTATAGGTTATTTAATTTGCATCGGTTTTAGTTTGTGCTACGAGTCGCATAAATATATCATAGGAAGTCAGCATAGGTACATAAATATTGTATTTATATTAAGACTAAGGACAATTACCAAATTAATTTTAATAATTATGTAGGTGTAAGTGGGTAGGTACGTATACCTATTAAAAGTTCAAACCACATTCAATCTTGTGTTTTTGTTGTTAAATAACAGACAATTTTCGTATTTACGTTTACACAAGAAAAGTTATCTTCGAAAAATATTAGTCAGGATACAAGCTCTACCACATATGCCTATTTAAAAAATAAGCATATGCACCTATACTTAAATGATTTATACAAAAATCAACACAAAAACTCCATTGCCAAATGATAATAAATCGGAACATCGTGAAGCCTGTAATATCGTGCAGTATAAACAACCCTTTCATTAGGGGTTAGTCGAACCCGATCAACTAGTGACTCAGTCTGCAACCGACTGTCACTGACTGTGGTACAAACAACCAGCCAGTCATTTGTTAAGAAAAGTTTATCAGTAATTAATTAAGGGCTTGTTCCATTACCGGACAAGTTCTGAACAAACTTATGACTTGTACAGTTCATACAAATTACGTTCTATTTTCAAATTTATCTGTACCAGATAATAAAGTAACTTTTTTATAGATACGTTGTGAAACAAACAGTCTAAGATGCAATAATAGTTTTTTTAAAGAATATTTTTTTGAATGGGTGGTTTCTGTTTGTGTGTAATTGGCTGAAGAGAGTACAGGTAAGATAATAATTACTCTATTAGTACTTAGTGTTATAGATTTGTCACAATAATTATAGTTTTATTACAAATAATACTTATATAGTTACGTTGGCGTTGACAAATCCCTTTCGGACAATGCGCCGATCAGCTTACTTTCATATTCTATAGAGATTTTTCATCAAAAAAAACACACAACGTTAAAAAATCCTATTACTTAATTATTGCGTAAA